TATTTCTTTTTCTAGCTTTTTGAAAAAGTGCCATACTATTTTCCATAGTAGTTGTACCATTTTTAAGTTCCACTAATAGGAATAAGAGTTACAATCTTTCTACAATGTCACTGACATTTGTTATTTTCTGTTTTTATTTTCATTGCTATTTTTATAGGGGTAAGATGGTATCCCATTGTAGTTTTAATTTGTGTTTCTCTAATATCTAATGATTGCAAGTAACTTTTCACGTATTTGTTGGCCACCTGAATGTCCTCTTTGATAAGTGTCTGTTCATGTCCCTTTTCCATTTCTTGATTGGATTATTTGTCATTCTATTGTTGAGTTGAAATTTTCTGTGTATTTTAGAAATTAGACCTTTGTCAGATATGACATTGCCAAATTTTAACTAATTTTTTAATTACAGTGCCAAGACCATACTAGAATAGTCTTTTTTATAAATGGTGTTAGAACAACTGAATAGCCACGCACACAAAAAAATGAAGTTGGGCCCTTACTTCAAATCATATGAAAAAATAACTCAAAGTGGATCAAAAACCTAAATGTAAGACAAAAACTATAAAATTCTTAGGAGAAAACAGAATAAATCTCCATATCCTTGGATTTGACACCATCAAGAAATTGAAAAGGCATCCTCAACAATTGGTGCTGCAAAACTGGAAATCCATTTGCAGAAAAATGAAACAAGACCCATATCTCATGTCATATACAATAACAAACCCAATGTAGATTAAAGACTTAAATGTAAAACCTAAAAGTATGAAGGTCATCAATGAGAGAGGTCGAGATGACAGAGTAAGCAGATGTACTAAGCAGACTCTCTGCAACAAACACATGGGAGAACAAGTGAAACAGATACAGAGGGTGGTCCTGGAATACTGAGCTTCAGAAGCAGGACACAGTGGTGGACTGAGTGCTGACAGGAAGAGGAAGCTGAACAGGAGCAACAAGAGAAAAAATCAGGCGGCCTATCACATGGTGTGGAGCTGCACGGCCATCTTGAACTTTTGCAAGTGGCCTATGGGCACTGAGCTGCAGGTGGGGGACAAGGAGGATGCAGTCCTCTCTGTTCTGTTGTCTTCCTGGTAACCGGGGTGTGGCCAATTCCATCATTGCCAAGACTGCGACTTTCAGCACCTACCTCCTGTACCACCTCTACCTGGGTCCTTCTTGAGGTACGTGAACCCTCTCTGCACTGCACTACACATACAGCGAACCATAAACTGTGTTCAGACTTCCAGTCCATATCACATCCATCAGGAGATAAGCGATGAGTGCATGAGAACATGCCAACATACAATCATCGATTAAATATCAATACAAATCCAATATAAATATAAATACACCACCGTGTCTCAGAAAAAACAGGCAGTTTCAGCTTACACGAAGAAAAAAGACAGAGTGTCTCAAACAAGTAACCAAAATATAGTCAGAAAATATAATACCAGAAATGGAATCAGAATTACTGGAGAAGGAATTTAAAAAAGAATGCTATTTAGGTACCTTCAATGAATTGAGCGAAAGAATGACAAAAACAAGGAAGAATTCAAGGAAATAAGGCAAGAACAAACTGACAAAATAAATGAAAATTTGGAAACCATGCAAAAACAGCAATTAGAAAACCAGAAGATTAATACTAAGACGTCAGAAATAGATAATACATCAAATGGGCAAAGAAGTAGAATTGAGTGGATGGAAGGCTGAATCAGTGAACTTGAAGTTGAATCTTTCAATACTCATCCTTGAGAGGAACAGTCAGAAAAAATAATTTTAAAATGCTAAGAAAGCCTAAGATTTATGTGACACACTACCAAGAGGAATAACTTACATATGATTGCAATTCCAGAACAAGAGGCAAATAAAACTACAGAGAAAACTGTCCAAGAGTTTCTGGAAGAAAACTTTCCTAACATCATGAAAGATGTGAAGATAGCTACCCAGGAAGTGAAGCTACAAACAGAATAGACACCCCATAAGCCTCCCCCTCCAAATAAATAAATAAATAAATCCACCAAGAAATATTACAAGCTAACTTTTCAAAACCAAGGAGAAGGAAAAATTCTTGAGAGTAGCTTGGGAAAAACAAAAAGGAGAACTAGTAAGATTAAGCTCTGATTTCTCAGTAGAAACCATTCAAGCAAGAAGACATATATAAAACTCTGAAAGAAAAAAAATTGCCGATCAAGAATCAGAAACCCAGCAAAACTGTCCATCAAATATGATGGTGAAATCAGGACATTTACAGATAAGCAGAAATGAAAAGAATTTGCAAAAACCAGACCATTCTAATAAAAAATAAGGGAATTCTTGGACAGAGCACCACCACCACCAGACAACAATCTGAGACTAACATACATGATAATACCACCTAGAACTCATCCCAGATATAGAAGTATTCAAAGTAAAACAAACCTACAAGATTGAAAATAGAGAACCAGAGATACTAGTTTGCAAAAATAACAACAACAAAACATAAAGTAAAAAAAGGGAATAATGTGGGTACACAAAGTCCAAATCAAGTAGATTTCAAAGAAAGAATACAAACCAACAACAACAACAACAAAACATCTAACTGTAACCCTAAAATGAGACCAACCGTTACTTCGAGCCCTTTCTCAATCCCTACCCCTAACAATGACCCTAGTCCTAACCATAACCCTAACACTAAATGAAGTCCTAGGCCTTGCCTAGACATAACCATTGTCCTAACCCAAACTCCTTTCTCCTACCCACTCCCACCCATCTACCAACCCCCAAATATTAATTTTTTTTAAGAAAAGAGATCATCAATGAAAAAAATACAGACAAATTTAGGGACTCAGATATATGGCATAAATACTTTATCAAACATAACTAGAAGTAGACAAACAGCAGAAGACATAACTGGAACCTCCTAAAAATGAGGAACTTTATCACATATGTGCATCAAAAGATTTCACCAAAAGAGTAAAAGAGAAAACACAGACTGGGGGGAAAAATTTTTTTTGCAATGACCTATCAGACAAAGGACTAATCGCTAGGATGTTTAGAATATTATACCACCTACACAAGAAAAAGTCAAATGACCCAATTAAAAAATGAGAAGAGATGAAAAGCAGGGTGAAATGAAAATAAAAATCACAGGGAAGAAGTGGGAACTGTTGTTACATGAAGGGGTTGCAATCATTGAGATGAAACAAACTATATAATTTGTTGAATGTAAAATTGGTATCTTCTCTGTAACCCTTTACTCAATTCACAATAAAAATTTTCAGGAAAGAAGATGAAATTGAAAAGATAAGACACAGAATGGGTAAAATATTTTTAAATCCTTATAAAAGATTTATCTAGGCACTCAACAGCAACAAAAGATATGTAACACACTTGTACAACTCAATAAAAAGGCAAACAACCTAATTTTAAAATGGGCAAAGGATTTTAATTGGCATTTCTCTAAAGAAGATACACCAATGGACTAGTCAACAAGAACAAGGACAAACATGAAGAAAATGCAAATCAAGACCACAATGAGATAACACTTCACGTCTACTAGAATGGCTAGAATCAAAACGTCAGTTATAACAATAACAAAGCAGAACCCTTCTATACTGCTGGTGGGAGTGTAAAATGGTGTAGTGGCTCTGGGAAACAGTGTGGTGGTGGTGGTGGTTATGTGCCATGGATTCGGTTCCAACTCATAGGAAACAGTGTATAGTTCCTCAAATGAGTAAACCTAGAGTTAGCATTGCTGTTAGCTGCTGTCCAGTCAACCCTGACTCATGATGAGACCCAGGAAGAAAGGAACAAAATGCTGCCTGGTTCTGTGCCATCCCATGAACAATTGTGGCTTGGACAACGTGATTCATACAGCTTTTAATGGCTGATTTTCAGAAGCGGCTTGCTGGGTTCTTTCTTCTTAGATCAACTTAGTTTGGAAGCTCTGCTGAAACCTACTCAGCATGGTAGCAAAATGCAAGCCTCCACTGACAGACCAGAAAAGGACAGATCATGAGATGCATTGACAATTGAACCCAGGTGAGAGGTGATAATTCTAAAACTCAACTACTAATACTTCTCCTGGCATCACCATATAACCAAGTAGTTCCACTCTGAGGTATATACCCAAGAGAAATAAAAACATATAGCCACTATATATATATCCGTTATAATGTTCTATTTAGTTATTATAGCATTATCCATAGTAGCCACATTATGGGCTGGAACTGACTCAACAGCACTTATCAACAACAATAATTCATATGGAAATCTAGAATAAGGATATCTATGTGTAGAGAATGTAGATTAGTGATTACATAGAGCTGGGAAGGGACTATGGGGCAACATCTAATGGATACTGGATTTCTTCTATAGTCTATGATATTCACATATCTCTGAATATATTTAAAACCATGAAATGTACACTTTAAATTGGTGAATTTATGGTATGAATTGTATCTCAAGAAAACCTTTATTTCATTTTTTAAAAAGTAAGGTATCTTGTTAACCATAAAATTGAGGAATCAATGAGCTATAATAGAAAATGTTTGGGTAAAAGGGAGCCATAAGATGTTGTTAGGTGAGAGAATTTACAGGACAGCAGAGATGACAAGCGATGATGCTCAAAGGTCCCAAAGCTTTACTTAGTTAAAAAGACTCAACAATACCCGATAGATGAGAGACAGTGTCTCAGGAGTCAGCTGATTGTGAGATTTGTGTCTCTGTAACCCCTCAAAAAGGAGTGTGGACAAGGCAGTTCCTCTAAGACTTCCCAAATGGGTCACTGTAATTAACAGGAACCATTTTGTCTAAAGCATAAATATAAACATTAACTTTTATTTCCTGTCACTTGAACCTGAAATTTTTGTTTTCCTTTTCTTTAAACATTCATTATATTTGTGTTTTAGCTATTAAATTCATATGTGCAATAAAATATAAGTAACTGATTTTCTACTATGATATTGTTTAAGTCTACCTGACTGATTCTATGTTTAAGAATTTCATTGTGTATCACTTTTTTCTAGAAAGGATGCTTTACTGAAGAATTTCGGATTTTGAATAAAAACATAGTAAGAACTTTACTGAAACTTACCGTAATATTTTCTTAATGTTTTATATAATTTTAATGTTTGTAGCTATAGCTTTTTATTATTTTTATTACGCCACTGGTCACTGTTTTAATTCATGTGAGTGTATTAAATAGAGAGTGTAATATTTACTCATAAAATTGTAACACACGGCCTTTTAAAAAAGCTGATATCTTAATGCTACATGACGAAAAGGAAAATTAGAAATCATTGCATGGAGAGTAAAATGCCTCTGATTATGACTTTGCGTAGCCCCAGGAGCCTCGTTTACTAGATTGAGGAGGTGTAATTTTTCTCCTTGGGGAGTTTCTAAAGAGTTGTTTATAATTTTTGTTCTTATTTCTTTTAAATTTTCCTTATTTTGTTGTTATTGAGAATACACACAGCATATGTTTATACACCAATTCAACTATTTCTATATGTACAACAACTTAGTGACATCGATGTCATTCTAGTTGGGCAACCATTCCCATCCTCCTTTTCTGAGTTGTTCCTCCCTCATTAGCATCAGTTCACTGTCTGCTAAGATTTCTATCTAGTCTTTCAAGTTGCTGATGTCAGTTTGAACTCATATTAATAGTTATTTTAAAAAGCATAATGCTCACTTCAAGTCACCCATTTTACTAGTTAAGCTAAGTTATTGTCAGGTTTTAAGAAGATTGCAGGAGATATTTTTGGTTAAATACTTAAAGATAATTCCAGGAAAAATAGTTTCAGGAATTCATCTAATCTCCATGGCTTCAAAAAGTCTGGAGTCCATGAGAATGTAAATTTCTTTCCTGCACATTGATCAAAATGTTCGATGATGGTAGGCAGGCATCATCTAATTCTGGTCTGATAGCAAAGGAGGCAGTTATTCATGGAGTCAATTAGCTATACATTCCATATCCTCCTCCTATTCCTGACTCTACTTCTTGCTCTGTTGTTCCAAGTGCATGGAGAAATTATTGTGCCTTGGAGGGCCAACTTGTAAACTTGTAAAACCCTCAGGGACTATGCAATTATCTAGGAATTAAAACAGTTGTATTTTATAGTTTGTATTATATAAGTCTTTCATGTACCTTGTTGGGTTTAGTTCTAGTTATTTTTTCTCTTGTATATATGCTATTTATTGTAGGAGTCCTGATGTGGTGCTGCAGGATAATGCACTGGATCACAAGGCCAGTTTGAACCACAAGGTTGGTGGTTCAAACTCACCAGTCGCTCCTTGGAAACTCTTTACAGGGTTGCTATGAGTCAGAACTGACTAGAGGAAACAGCACTCTACAACAATAATGCTGTTGTAAATGGACTTATTTCTCTTTCAGATATGTATAGAAAGAAACCCAGATGGTTTTTTTTGTTTTGTTTTGTGGGTTTTATTGCTGACCTTGTACCCTGCAACTTTGCTAAAACTTTTCTCAATTAGTTCTGGAAACTTACTTGTGGACTCTGGGATTTTCTATATTTCTGTATTCACCATCTGTGAATAGTGTAATCCTAATATTTTCCCTGTTGTTTTTTGTTTTTTTTTCCCCCTTTATTTCTTATCCTGTTACTCTGACTAGGACTTCTAATACTTATTGAATAGAACTGGTAAGAACAGACACCCTTATGTTCTTCCTGATTTTAAGGGAAAGCTCTCAGTTTTTCACCATTAAGTATAATGTTGGCAGCTGACTTTTTATACATGCCCTGAATCATACTGAGAAATCTCTCTTCTAGTCTAATCTTATTTAAGGCTTTCTTTAAGAAAGACAGTGGATTTTATCTAGTGCTTTTTCTGCTTCTATAAAGATTATAATGTTAGGTTTTCCTTTGTCCTATTGATGTGATATATTATTTCCATTGATTTTCTAATGTTGAACCATCCCTACATTCTGAATAGATCCCACTTGGCCCTAGTGTGTGCCTCTTAATATGCTGTTGTATTTCATTTGGTTGAGAATTTTTGCATCTATAAGTCTATAATTCATGTTACTTTGTTGTACTGTGATGGTTTGTGTGTGCTGTGATGCTGTAAGCTATGCTACCAATATTTTAAATACCAGCAGGGTCCTGGTGTGGTGCTGTAGGATAAGCACTGGACTGTTAACAGCAAGGTTGTCAGTTCAAATCCACGAGCCACTCCTTGGAAACCCTATACAGGGTTACTAAGAGTCGGAATTGACTCGACAGCACTTAACAACAGCCACAGGATCACCCATGGTGGACAGTTTTCAGTGGACCTTAAGGACTAAGATAAATACCAAACAGGGTCACCCATGGTGGACAGGTTTCAGTGGAGCTTCCGTACTAAAACAGATTAGGAAGAAGGAGAGGTGGACTACTTCTGAATGATTAGCCACTGAAATCCTTATGAAAAGCAGTGGCATGTAGTGCTGGAAGGGGAAAACATTATGAATAGCAACAGAACAATATCAGATGTAGTGGCGGAAGAAGAGACCCTTAGGTTGGGAGGCACTCAGAATACAACTGGAAAAGACCTGCCTCGCTAAAGTAGAATTGAGCATAATGATGTGAATGGAGTAAAGTTTTCTGGACCTTTATTTGCCAATAGGGCACAACTCAAAAGGAGGAGAAACAGCTGCAAACATTCATTAATAATCAGAACATGGAGTGGAGTGTACAAAGTACAAATGTAAGAAAGTTATAAGTTGTGAAAAACAAACTGGAATGCATAAAGATCAATATCCTAGATATTGTTGTTGTTATTTAGTGTTGTCGAGTCAGTTCTGACTCATTGTGACCTTGTGTAGAGTTTCCAAGGAGTGGCTGGTGAGTTTGAACCACAGATCTAGCAGTTAACAGTCCAGTGCTTGTACAGCACCACACCAGGGCTCCTAGACATTAGTGAGCTGAAATGGACAGATATTGACCATTTTTAATCTGACAATCATATAGTTTACTATGCCAGGAACAACAGATTCAAGAGGAATGGCATTGCATTCGTTGTGAAAAGAAGCATTTAAAAATCTCTCTTGAAGTATAATGCTGTCTGTGATAGGATAATATCCATACAACAAGGAAGAGCAGTTCATGCAACTGTTACTGAAATTCACACACCAACCACTAAAGCCAGAAGTATTCTACCAACTTCTTCATTCTGAAATTGCTCAAACATGCATTGATAATTGCTGTTGATTGGAATGTGAAAGTTGGAAACAAAAAGGATCAGTAGTTGGAAAATACAGCCTTGGTGATAGAAATGATGCTGAAGAATGCATGACAGAATTTTGTAGGACTAACAACTTAGTCATTGCAAATGTCTTTTGTAAACAACATAAGGTTGACTGTACCCAAGGACCTCACCAGATGGCATATACAATCAAGTTGACTACATCTGTGGAATGAGATGATAAGAAATCTCAAAATCAAGTGCCAAGCCAATGTCAGGGGAAGACTGGAACAGACAATCAGTTGCTCAATTGCTCAATTGCTCAGGTTGAAGCTGGACATTTTTAAAACAACTCCATAAGGAGTCAAAGTATGACCTAGAACATATCTCACCTGAATTTAGGGAACATCTCAACAACAGATTTGATGCATTAGGTGCTAAAGACAAATGAACAAAAGAGTTGTGGGATGACATCAAGAACATCATACAGAAAGAAAGCAAAAGATCATTAAAAAGACAGGAAGAAAGAAAAGGCCAAAATGGATGCCAGAAAAGTCTCTGAAACTTACTCTCAAGCTTAGAGAATGGAAGAAATGAGAACATCAAAGAGCTGAACCAGAACATTTCAAAGGCATCTCAAGAAGACAAAGTCATGAGAGAACAAACAAGATGGCAGATTGGGTGGAAGTGCAGTGAGGAGCTCCGTCAGCACCAACACAGAATACAGGACCAAGTAAGCTCTGGGGATGGTCCCAGAACTCTGAACCACATGTAAAGGAATATTTAAAAGTTGGAAGGCTTACAGCCAGTGGAATTTGTAGCAGAAGCAAGAAATCTAGTGCTTTCTAATCCAAGATGTTCAGTTGCTTCCTGAGCATCCATCTTGGGCGAGACCGAACTAGGGAAGGATCAGAGCAGCTATGGGCGCCTGACAGAACCATAGAGATAAAGGTGTGGACATTATTATATATTTTTTTCATCTGTTTATTGGCCTCTCACTGTCTTTGCACCTCTATTCTGGTGACTGGGGGGTGGGGGGTGGACACACCACCCCCACCCCCGGAGAGCTCTACTATGCATATGCACAGATCTCCTGGAAATTTAAAGGTGCAATTTCCACTTAAAACCAAATAGCAGTGCAAAATAGCCACAGCTGGCCCAGAACTGTTTATCACTAGGAAAAAGCTCTGAACGGGGGTTGTGGAGCACGGCAGGCAGACTAAAAAGGAAACAGGCTGAAAATTAAATGCTGAGTTATGTCATAATGACCAGCAGTGGCATCTTGAAATTTTTTAGGAAGAAGAGTGAAAAGGGAAGCCCATCTCCTCCTGATCACATCTACCTGAAGGCAATCAGAAAACATAAAAAATACCAACACACACACCCATCTAAATTTTAAGGCCACAGCTAACCCCTGAATAGGCTACAAAAACAGAAACACATTATCATATCAGCACATGTCCAGAAACAAGATAAAGTGACTGAGACAAATGAGTTGGAGGTAGACCTACTCTCCACACTGGAAGGAGGGTAAGCTTTGGAAATGCCTGAGAAGGAATTCATAAAAATGATTATAAAATGTATCAAAACACTTTACAATGGAGTTGAGAAAAATAAGCAAAAGTCAGAAAGTACTACAGGAACAATCAAATAAGATAGATACAGCATTGGAAACAATTCAAAACCTACAGAAAGAGATCCAAATGATTAATGATAGATTATCAGAAATGGACAATACATTGAAAGGGCAAAGGAGTAGAATTGAAGAGATGGAAGCCAGAACTAGTGAGCTGGAAGATAAATCTCTCAATACCACTAAGATAGAAGAACAAACAGAAAAAAGGGATTTAAAAAATCTGAAGAAGGTCTAAGATTCATGTTGGAC